CGAACACGCCCACACATTCACTCTCACACACACACACACACATATAAAGAAACAAACTCGATCCTACACATCGGATGATCACACATTCACACACGGAATATCTTAAACACGCAGATGCAACGACAACAATCACAATCTCCAAACACAAATCAACAATGTCAGAATGAGAACGACACTCGGCTCACGCATTCACGCTGCCACCCACTCACTCACACAATCACCCAATCACTCACTCACCAACTCATCCACAAACTCAATCACACACTCGCCATCGCACTCACTTTCACACGGTCATCAACATGCACAGACACTGGTGCAAACACACACCTACAAATCGGCCGAAACACATGTGTGTCCACGCCCACATACACACTCACATTCACCACTGTCTCTCATCCATGTGCATGCATGCACGCGTGCAATTATACATGCACGCACGCAAGTAAGTATGCATGCAATCAAATGCTAACCACTGCTTTCTGTCCTCTCTCCATCTCCCTCTATCTACAGGTCTGCAGTCATCACAGTCCACCATCACTCCGTCAGCCAGTGAAACCAGTCAGCCCACTCCGTCTCACCAGCCCACATCCACGCCACTCCTCCTCCACACCACAATCACACCGACAACACCCGGACTATCCGAGTCGCCCACAACTCCAACCACAACACTCAACACCGACATCATCGGAACCAACACCGCTGTCACCACCTTCACTGGTGAGTCAATCTCAGTTTCCTCTCATTCTCCACACACCCGTCTCCCCAGTGATCATCTTCCTCATACTCCTCGTAAGCCTCGCCTACTCACACTCTTGCGCACATTCAAGCTACTCCGTCCTCTCCTAAACCCCGTATGCTAATTCCAACACTGCGCCAATCCACATCACACCCTCCAGTCAACTCGGAATCTCACACACTCCTCCTGAACTCACAACACACAAACACACAGGAAACACTCACACTGCCACACGAACCACAACCAACACACTCTCACAAACGAAACCAACACACAGACACACACTCATGCACACGCATGCACACGCGGACTCATGCAGACACATCCAATCACACATCGACACTCCAACACTCACAATCTCTCTCCGACTCAGGCAAAAACACACCAACAACCACACGAACACGCCCACACATTCACTCTCACACACACACACATATAAAGAAACAAACTCGATCCTACACATCGGATGATCACACATTCACACACGGAATATCTTAAACACGCAGATGCAACGACAACAATCACAATCTCCAAACACAAATCAACAATGTCAGAATGAGAACGACACTCGGCTCACGCATTCACGCTGCCACCCACTCACTCACACAATCACCCAATCACTCACTCACCAACTCATCCACAAACTCAATCACACACTCGCCATCGCACTCACTTTCACACGGTCATCAACATGCACAGACACTGGTGCAAACACACACCTACAAATCGGCCGAAACACATGTGTGTCCACGCCCACATACACACTCACATTCACCACTGTCTCTCATCCATGTGCATGCATGCACGCGTGCAATTATACATGCACGCACGCAAGTAAGTATGCATGCAATCAAATGCTAACCACTGCTTTCTGTCCTCTCTCCATCTCCCTCTATCTACAGGTCTGCAGTCATCACAGTCCACCATCACTCCGTCAGCCAGTGAAACCAGTCAGCCCACTCCGTCTCACCAGCCCACATCCACGCCACTCCTCCTCCACACCACAATCACACCGACAACACCCGGACTATCCGAGTCGCCCACAACTCCAACCACAACACTCAACACCGACATCATCGGAACCAACACCACTGTCACCACCTTCACTGGTGAGTCAATCTCAGTTTCCTCTCATTCTCCACACACCCGTCTCCCCAGTGATCATCTTCCTCACACTCCTCGTAAGCCTCGCCTACTCACACTCTTGCGCACATTCAAGCTACTCCGTCCTCTCCTAAACCCCGTATGCTAATTCCAACACTGCGCCAATCCACATCACACCCTCCAGTCAACTCGGAATCTCACACACTCCTCCTGAACTCACAACACACAAACACACAGGAAACACTCACACTGCCACACGAACCACAACCAACACACTCTCACAAACGAAACCAACACACAGACACACACTCATGCACACGCATGCACACGCGGACTCATGCAGACACATCCAATCACACATCGACACTCCAACACTCACAATCTCTCTCCGACTCAGGCAAAAACACACCAACAACCACACGAACACGCCCACACATTCACTCTCACACACACACACATATAAAGAAACAAACTCGATCCTACACATCGGATGATCACACATTCACACACGGAATATCTTAAACACGCAGATGCAACGACAACAATCACAATCTCCAAACACAAATCAACAATGTCAGAATGAGAACGACACTCGGCTCACGCATTCACGCTGCCACCCACTCACTCACACAATCACCCAATCACTCACTCACCAACTCATCCACAAACTCAATCACACACTCGCCATCGCACTCACTTTCACACGGTCATCAACATGCACAGACACTGGTGCAAACACACACCTACAAATCGGCCGAAACACATGTGTGTCCACGCCCACATACACACTCACATTCACCACTGTCTCTCATCCATGTGCATGCATGCACGCGTGCAATTATACATGCACGCACGCAAGTAAGTATGCATGCAATCAAATGCTAACCACTGCTTTCTGTCCTCTCTCCATCTCCCTCTATCTACAGGTCTGCAGTCATCACAGTCCACCATCACTCCGTCAGCCAGTGAAACCAGTCAGCCCACTCCGTCTCACCAGCCCACATCCACGCCACTCCTCCTCCACACCACAATCACACCGACAACACCCGGACTATCCGAGTCGCCCACAACTCCAACCACAACACTCAACACCGACATCATCGGAACCAACACCACTGTCACCACCTTCACTGGTGAGTCAATCTCAGTTTCCTCTCATTCTCCACACACCCGTCTCCCCAGTGATCATCTTCCTCACACTCCTCGTAAGCCTCGCCTACTCACACTCTTGCGCACATTCAAGCTACTCCGTCCTCTCCTAAACCCCGTATGCTAATTCCAACACTGCGCCAATCCACATCACACCCTCCAGTCAACTCGGAATCTCACACACTCCTCCTGAACTCACAACACACAAACACACAGGAAACACTCACACTGCCACACAAACCACAACCAACACACTCTCACAAACGAAACCAACACACAGACACACACTCATGCACACGCATGCACACGCGGACTCATGCAGACACATCCAATCACACATCGACACTCCAACACTCACAATCTCTCTCCGACTCAGGCAAAAACACACCAACAACCACACGAACACGCCCACACATTCACTCTCTCACACACACACACAAACAAACAAACCCGATCCTACACATCGGATGATCACACATTCACACACGGAATATCTTAAACACGCAGATGCAACGACAACAATCACAATCTCCAAACACAAATCAACAACGTCAGAATGAGAACGACACTCGTCTCACGCATTCACGCTGCCGCCCACTGACTCACACAATCACCCAATCACTCACTCACCAACTCATCCACAAACTCAATCACACACTCGCCATCGCACTCACTTTCACACGGTCATCAACATGCACAGACACTGGTGCAAACACACACCTACAAATCGGCCGAAACACATGTGTGTCCACGCCCACATACACACTCACATTCACCACTGTCTCTCATCCATGTGCATGCATGCACGCGTGCAATTATACATGCACGCACGCAAGTAAGTATGCATGCAAGCAAATGCTAACCACTGCTTTCTGTCCTCTCTCCATCTCCCTCTATCTACAGGTCTGCAGTCATCACAGTCCACCATCACTCCGTCAGCCAGTGAAACCAGTCAGCCCACTCCGTCTCACCAGCCCACATCCACGCCACTCCTCCTCCACACCACAATCACACCGACAACACCCGGACTATCCGAGTCGCCCACAACTCCAACCACAACACTCAACACCGACATCATCGGAACCAACACCACTGTCACCACCTTCACTGGTGAGTCAATCTCAGTTTCCTCTCATTCTCCACACACCCGTCTCCCCAGTGATCATCTTCCTCACACTCCTCGTAAGCCTCGCCTACTCACACTCTTGCGCACATTCAAGCTACTCCGTCCTCTCCTAAACCCCGTATGCTAATTCCAACACTGCGCCAATCCACATCACACCCTCCAGTCAACTCGGAATCTCACACACTCCTCCTGAACTCACAACACACAAACACACAGGAAACACTCACACTGCCACACAAACCACAACCAACACACTCTCACAAACGAAACCAACACACAGACACACACTCATGCACACGCATGCACACGCGGACTCATGCAGACACATCCAATCACACATCGACACTCCAACACTCACAATCTCTCTCCGACTCAGGCAAAAACACACCAACAACCACACGAACACGCCCACACATTCACTCTCACACACACACACACAAACAAACAAACCCGATCCTACACATCGGATGATCACACACTCACACACGGAATACCTTAAACACGCAGATGCAACGACAACAATCACCATCTCCAAACACAAATCAACAACGTCAGAATGAGAACGACACTTGTTGTCGATATTTTTCGATGTTTTGATTTCCAGTGTATGCCCAAGTTAATATTCTCTCATATCGGCTCACGTCGTTCAGAGAAAATGTACCACAATGCAGTTAAATCATCGTTCTAAAATAATGCAATCAATAAATTGAAAGGAATGACTCGTGATTGTCAATGATTTCGTTGTAGTAACAAAGCATCGATTGTCTGTGAACAGGCGTCTTTTCACACGAAACAATCAATTCACAAGGGATATCAGTAGTATATTGCTTTTCTTATTTTGGTTCCTGTGTCACAATCCTTTTGTTATCGTTTCTCGACTTTTAGAAATCGTGGTCTTCCGACTTGCAACTGTATTATACACGGACAGCGAGAGAACACCGTATGTTTGGCAGCCTGATTTATCCAACACATCATCAAATGCATACATAAATCTAGCTCAAACATTTTGCAACAAGGTCAGTTAATCGTTTACAGTTTTATGCATTGAATGCAATTCACAATGATTCAGAACATGCATTTAGTGGATGACTTCGGTTTTGAGTCAGTTAAAAATTTAATAATACTCATAGATAATTTATTTTCTGCACGTTAAATGAAGTGCAACGGGTGCGATAAATCATAATAGTCATAGGAATAATCATGTCCAGATTCTAACGAAGATTCGAATTTCTCATTAAACCTCTAGCCACCGACGAGTAGCTCTCAATGCAATATCATTCAGATAGTTCATGCGACAGGCTCTCTTCCTTGTATATCTGAATTATTCATGTTGAATACAGAGAACACCGAATGTGCTGTCAAAAGATCAGGCGAAGTAATACCTAATATGGGAATGTCTGCGATTACATTTAATCAGGGAATTCGTGATACAGATTGAGCTGATTGATGAAACATTCAAAGTTCAATATCCACTTGGTTAATGACTCCACTTGTCAGCCCACTACACTTCTTGGCTTTCTAGTCTTGCCCACTAATAAAGATGACTGTTCATATCCACATTTTAAGAGATAATCTTCGTTTGGTACTGCTGTTCTGTTTGACCTACTTCATTCAGTTGAGGATGCTTCATTGCCCTTGCAAACAACGTTTTCAGCGCCAACTTCAGAATTAGGTGAGATTGTATGATTTGCGAGAGATGAAGTCACTGATTTTCTGATTATTCTGACTTGAACCTTACGAGCAGCAGAATAAGGGCAGCATTGATGACAACTGATCCAAGTCAGGATCATCAGGAAATTGGTCACTTCATTCATGGCGAATTCGGAAATCTCATTTAATTTTGAATTTACGGCTGAATATGTCGTCCGAAAGGGGATGGTGGAAGCTCCGCGATTGAAACACCGGGCACATAGGATGCAGTAACACTGGATATGTCTACTTGATGTACACATTCTCTACATCAATCCAAGAACATACGCCCATTTTCTTTGATAACGAAAGAATTTCACAAGACGGTGAGTGGAGATATTGCATTACAGTCAACATTACGAGGCAACTACAATGCAAACCATTTGACTGAATTCATTCGAACTAGTCAGAAACCACCCCTTCTTGTCGTTCAAATGATGTGCGCCCACAAAATTCCACATCACTTTTCATGGCGTCCACAATAATTACCTTTGAAATAATGACCTCTGAATTCTGGATTCATTTCTTTAGATTTTGGCCATTTTCAATCTATGGAATCCAGTTGCTTCCAAAGGAGCCCGATGTTACAATGTTGTATTTATACCAGTTGATTTTGTTATTCTTGAGAAAAGACAGTTGAATGCAACTGGTACCGAGGGACAGAATGCGACTCAAGGTGTGCAGGGGAACGCAGATATCGATTTGATTTCAACGAATGAGACAAATTTGAATGAAACGCAGTTGGTTGAAATCATTTCCTCTGTCCAAAATCAGTCAAATGTAACTTCGGATACATATTTTTTCAATGTACAAGCAATTCGTAAGTCACAAATATTTCTGGTAGTAGATTAAATGCAATGAAGCAGGTCAGATTAGGCTCGTATACAACAATAGTAATAATAATAACTGCTTTGTTCTACAAAGTTCGTCGTCGCATAAGACAGAATTTGAAGCTTGTCCTATGCCATGGTACTTAACCCATGTGCAAGACCTTCAAGTAATATAAACGTGATAGATAATGCACCATTTGAAGCAATATTGTTCTATCCAGAGCAGGTTCCATTGCTCTTGCGTTTACTTCAAAACATTCATATCAGTAGGTTGAGACCATACAATTCATGAAGGCAGTTGGATGTCTAAAACATCATGAAGTGCAGTAAGTATGCTGCGATGTGATGGATAGGAAAATTTGGTAGCCTGGTGTTTTCAGCAGGCCACCGGAATGCGTATATATATACATGTATATATAAGTGTATGTCAGATCCCAAACTGCTGGGCTAAGTAGTCTTCTGACATATCAAAATCTGAACGTAGATAAAGTGAATGGCTTGCGTTATTTAATTATACCAATTTCGGGAATGCGTGTTGGTGAATGGCACGTGTCTAGTATATTCAACTTCGTGTTGGTTTTTCGCTGTATGACTTCTAGAAATCGGCCGTGATGGTTTCCCATGACAGTCTGGAAGTCATTTTCATGTCTGGCTTTATGAGAACAATTATCATCCTAACTGCGAATATTTAAAATAACGTGAATCAGCCTACTCGTGTTTGCCAGTGAACAGCACTTCACTGCATGGCCTTCTCCTATTTGTTTTACAAAGCATAGAAGCCCTGCTCTTCATCCAGATCACCGGAAATCATATCAAACCTATGATGATGCCTGAATGTAATTTCCACTAATGATCCTCAGCAACCATAAGGAATACAAGTACCTCTCTGACACCGAACTATACCCGCGAAACAATTCAAGCCATAATTTTGTTCTCAATAAAGTGGGCACGATTTTATCGGGCTGATTTAATGGATTGGTATGTCATGAAGTTTACTGATCCTGCAGTAGACTTACCTGGCTTGTGGAGTTTACTATCTTGAGTTTTGTATCAATTGCTATGACATGAGTGAATCAGTTTTCGATGAAATATGCATTCAGTTTTAGTGCGTACATCCGCTATAGTATAAGTGTTGAGCTCAGAGAATGTTTGAAAACTTTGCAGTTTACCAATTGTAGTCTTCTACTTAACAAATCTGCCCACTGAAAGCGAAATGTATTTCTGAAAGGGGAAATTCTGTCAAACACTGTCAACCTAGGCTGATATGCATTTCTGTGCAAGACAAATGACATAACTGTCAGGTCGAATAGGTGATTAACTCAAATTCTATTCAACAAGGTGTTATCAACGAAAAATGTCCACAGGATTTTGTACTAAACTACTCACACACGCGTCTCACTAGTTTTATGCGCCAGCCAATTATTCGATCAAAGAAAGTGTATACGTTCACAGAGAAGCGAAAGTACAGGAAAAGAAATTGGGATAGCTGTACTCTTTGTCATTTTTTTCCTGGGTTCGTCATCCAATACGCAATGTGGTGAAATCAGTAGATAATAAAGCCCAAAACACATTTTTCCTTACTACAACATGCCAATCCCAATTTTTTTCTTTCTTTTCTTCAAGGGACTTATGTCGCACCTACAGCGATGACGGTGTCATCAGCACCTTTGACACAGACGACAAGAGAATTGCAGGGAGCAACTGAAAGTTTTTTTAACTTCACATCAACAACCACGACTGATGGGCATTTTACTTCCCAAGTCTATACATCAGGTAAGTTTCTTTATTTGTGCTACTGTGCTCATTCAATCACTATATGTTTGAATGAAGTGTCAATAAAGTTGCAAGATATTTAGAATGAAGCGGTGTACTACTGATCTGACAGAAGTATCTAGTGATCACTGATCAAGTAGACACCACACAGTTCTCCGGATGGTATTCATCTCCACACAATTGTCAGCCTCGAGAAGAATACAATTTGCATGCTGGACAATATAATTTTCAATAAAGAAGGAGATCGATATAAACCAACAATTGGACTTCATCATATATTGATATCTTTTGTCATGGGATTCCAATCCTGCATTCAGTTTCTCTCCATCCAAGGAATTTTCACGTCTAGAAACCTGTTATCTCATCTACATGAGAGTGATTGCTTGTAAAACTGTTGTCCGCGATAAGTGGAAAGCTTTTCTAAAATGAATACACAATGTGGAAGATATAGACATTTCAGTCTAGAAAACCAACGTCAAAGTGCACTTGGAACAGAAAATTAAATGTGCATACAGACGTCATCAATGTTCGAATATCTAGCTATTTCAACCTAGTCAGAATGATACTATCAATGCATATTGTATTCGGGATGAGTGTTAGACAGTTGTGTTAACTTTCTTCTGAAAAACAGGTAATAAACGATGTCATCCGCTCCTTGATTCGACGTGCAGGTAACCTCTCGGATCGCTTCAACACGAGAATAGTAGGCAGTGTTTGACAACTGCACTATTTGCAATTATTAGTGTTCTCTGAGCTGGTTGGTTTAGTTGCGGAGCTTTCGTCGTCTTTCTGAACGACATCTTCAGCGTAGTATTTAGGATAAAGTGAAATGATTAAAATGATCGCATCATTTCCAATATTTCACCACAATCGCTCAGAACTACTATGATTGCGTCTGATTGTTAAGATAGTGGTGAAAATCCATGTGGCGAATCTGAATTCCTTTATCGTCGAAGTAATGGCGGGATGTAGACTGGTAAGAATGAGTTGACTTTGTGTTAAGTAAATTTCATTGAGTACACACTCAACCGATTGCGTATCACTTAAATGTAAGACGTGTGGACTCTGACGCTAGTGAAATTATGAGAGACATTTAGTCGAATCCTGCATTGTGAATCTAGCCGCAGATTTTTCAAATGCATGCGAATTGTTTCACTATCCATTGAACAGAATTAAATGTGTATATTCGAAATACAACTCGGATAAATTATAAGGTGAGCAGTGAGTAAAAGGCATATCAGGGTAAGCGCTTAGCACACAACATACACAAGTGCCACAAAACGACATAATGAGGAAAACTAATACAAAACACATGTATTCACACCAAAATTAGCATAAGGGATCACGAGAAATCGAAGTGAGGCGGAAGTCAGACAACGGAAGCATAAAGCCACGCATAGGAAAAATTCCATAAAAGACTTGAAGCGAATAAGTGAAAAGCTCTGGAATGGGACTGTAGAAGTAAAAAGCTGGGGAGAAATAGAATGCGGATAGAAAATAGTCCTAAATAGTGGAAACCTCACACAACCAATGAAATAAGAACACGGATAAAAATCAAAAGAGAATCCAAAATAATCAAAGAAAAATCCCGCTTAAACAGAAGCGAAGAAGCCAGCGAGTCATAATAATAGTGATATTAATTATAATAAATGCTTTTGTCGAAAAAGTTCTTCTGGCACAAATGTGGAATTTTCAGCGTGTAATGCAATATCGAATCTAATTCCCTCACTAATTGAAATAGGGTATTTATACTAATATTGTTGTTCAATAAGAAGTGAATTTGAAATTAAATCAAGTGAAAATATTAGCAGTGAGGGACTTCCCATTGTGAAACGTGTACTGCTTGCTACCAGCAATATAGGAATGCAATCACTTGATAATCCAGCACTTCGCGCGTAACGCAGCAGGCTTGTCTAACATAGAAGGCCTAGGTACAGAGTCGAAGGCAGATGTGTAATCTAGAAAGGCACACCGAAAACCTTTGGCACCTCTATCTACAATAGAGACAATGCTATGATATAAGACGACACTGGCATCTAATATACACCTATCATGTTCACAAGCAAATTTATTAGGATCGTTAAATGCCTTCAATGAAGGTTCAAGACTAAGTAAAAGTAGTCTTTCCACTGTTTTAAAAAATGGTGAAGTAATGGTAATGGTAATAGGTTTGAAGTTGACAGTTCGCCCACTTGATGATTTAGGCACAGGAACAATGTTAATGTCTTTCCAAGAAGTAGGCACAGTGTTAATTGGAAATGAACCATTAAAAAAGCAGTGAGAGGACAACATAAAACATCAGCACATTTATTGAGGATAATATCTAGTACATCATTTGCATCAAGGGACTGCGTAAGTTTCAGGGATATGAGACACTTGAAGACATCGTTTGAGTTAATATCGGAGAAGTGGTCATTGTTTGTATTTGTAGCATTTGAGAGCGTAACATCAGCTGATGGGCATATACAGGACTAACTAAAAGTACCAGCACCAACTGCAGAAGAATCATTATTTATTTCCTTACCCTTGTTGATTTCCTTAACCAACCTCCACATATTTGATGAGTTTTCGCATGATAATAACTTTGGCTATAGATGAAATTGAATCTCTGTATTTATAGTTTAATTTAAATGTTCAGTTTTTAAACACCAGGATTGTCATTCATTTTGTGCAACTATTCTTTTTCTCAGCGAAGCTTTCTGAGCTGAGCAGAGGAAAAGTGGTCGAGTCTTGTGAAGAGTGTCTCTTTTGAACAACAAACATCAAGATGGACTTTGAAACAAGGAGTTACGTGAACTACTGTGTCATATAGAACTTGTTCAGTACACAAGTTCCAATTTGTATCATTTTTCATGTTTTCTGGATAACAAATACTGTCATGCGAGTAAAATCTATATTGTGTTTGCCTTCCAAGGCTCATGAAGGCCCTTTTTGCAGCTTTCCATATATTTTCGGCTATTTTTCTAGCTTCAGATAGGCCGAAGTCATTTGCAAACACTAGATCAAGGATATTTTTATTCGTGTTGGAATGTTGAAAATATCTTCATGACCGTAAGATGCAAGGAAAATGAAGTTACACCAACTGAAATCGCCAGTAACTACTAACAAGGAGTGTCCAAGGGAGGTCCTTCAAATGTATATGTAGTTGTATTCGGGTGAGTGTTTCTGTTAACATTTAACGGTGAGGCAGACAATCTCGTCACTAGGGAGTCTACAAATACATTATTTGAAGTACACAATTGAGAATTAACGAAGTTTGGAACGCCACCATCACATTTCCTTGTGGAGCCACGTCGAATTTGTCTGGATAATTTGAAATCATTTAGACAAACAAATTATCATCATATTGGCCATGCAACCAGGTTTCTTGAAGAGTTATAACACCAGCATTGAGAAATACATTCGAGAACACGAGAGATTGCAGACAGTTATTTTTTCCTGGCAAAGAACGATAGCATGCGTCCATAATCTGCCACACAGTTGTTTCAGGAATTCGAATGTTTCGGAGGCACGTTGTCGTCAGCAATGATGAAGGTCAACAGATACCTAACAAATCACTCCATCCGCAGGTTTACCCAACGTATAAGCTTCGACAATCAATAAAAAAATACATGAAAAAATTCAGAAGAAAACAAGTCTAAACATAGGAGACAAGCAAAATAAGAGGAAAAAAGAAATAATCAAAAGAAACCAGGAAAATAGGGAGGCAGAGAAACAGAAAAAACAAGATTAAACAGCACAAAAAGGAGCCATAAAAATACACATATTCCCATACAACAACTAAACTAAACTAAAACAGACAAAGACAGAGACACATGAACCCAGAGCAGCACGAAGTCGCTCAAATACAGAAAAAAGAATATTTAAACAAAACAAAAACTCCACAAAAACCATCGAAAACTTGTGAAAACGCATCGAACACAGGTGAATATACATCGAATATTTGCGATGCACAGTTCACAAAATATTTCAATCATATCTTCATCTCCCTCTATCTGCAGGTCTGCAGTCATCACCTCCCACCATCACCCCGTCGGCCAGTTACACCAGCCAGACAACTCCGTCTGGTCAGCCAACCTCTACGCCACACACTCTCAACACCACAATCACATCATCAACACCCGGACTATCCGAGTCGCCGACAACTCAAACCACCTCCGGGACCACCGCTACCAACACTGGGACCACGTCCACAGGTGAGTCTGCCTGTCACTCACACACACACACACACTCACCAACTCACTCACTCACTCACTCACTCACTTCCTCCCTTAATACCTCAGTCAGTCTCACTTCCCCCTACTCCACATCATCGAACGCCCACACACTATCCACACAAATCTCGCTCTCGTGAATCACCAAGCACACAGACACTCACACATAAACGCAGACTCACACACTCACTCCCACTCGACGACTGTCTTCAAAATGAGAGAAGCACATGTCCACAGCCACACGAACACGAACCTTCACAAGCACAAACACAAACACCCAAAAGCATACACTCACATTCACTCACACACCCCACTAGAAACACGAATTCATTATTCACATAAAAAATGAGACACAAAATTTCAAACTCGAGTGTAGTAAATCAATCACAAAATCGAACACAAATTCACTCACTAAATCAATATTAGTCAATCACGGATAAAGTCAGGCGAACACATACATAAAATCGCCAGTTGACACGAAATAACACATACAATAACACGGATTACTCCTGCTCAAAATCACACACTCGAATCCATTGAAAAATGCAAAAAACACAAAAAAAACAGAGACAAATAATTAAACGAATGCATCCAATTCCCAAAGAGAGACAGTCACTCGGCCAACACATTCACGCTGCCACCCACTGACTCACACAATCACCCAATCACTCACTCACCAACTCATCCACAAACTCAATCACACACTCGCCATCGCACTCACTTTCACACGGTCATCAACATGCACAGACACTGGTGCAAACACACACCTACAAATCGGCCGAAACA